TATATCGATTATATATGAGGTTTGTAGTGTTAGCTGAGCTGAATAAGAAAAGAAATACGGTGTTCGTGTATTAAACACGCAAACTCGGCAGCTTAATTTATCATAAGACTGGAGGAATATATATAATTCTAAATGGCAAATGTCATACAATAATTGAACTAAAACTGAGTATATTAATTTGTTTATTCTTTATATAATATAAAACATTCAGAAATGATTAAAAGGCTACACAGAAAACCGTTTCTTATAGAAAAGTAAACATTTTTTTATCAGATTTGGTTTCAAATGTTATGTGAAGTTACATTGATCTAGTATGATTTGAAATTACAACGCTTTAACTATGCCTTTTAGTCAAATTCACATAACATTAAAAAAAAGATACATTTAGAATAAGTTTGTCTTATGAATTATCTAAAAATATTGATTATTAAAAACACTATGCAGTTCAAAATCATATAAACTGGAGTATAGTTTTTATATAAAAGTTTATATTGCAATTAAATAACAGCTTATAAAACTCTTGAAATAAAAAACAATTACATATGAAAGGTTTGGAAAGAGGAAACTCTTTTTTTCCTTGTGGTTAATAGTGATATATGTGTTAAAATGCGGTTGACTTGCACAACAAAACCCCCCAAATATCGTTAAAAATGTAAGATGTCAATATTGATCAGAGCATAGCAGACGCCTTGACAAAAATATGAAAAAGGTGCAAAAAAAAACAGTCATTGCTGCTTGCCCATGAACAGCAAAAAGAAATTCAAGTAATATTTGCAAATAAATTTATATAAATCATTTGTTATATTACTTTTGTCCATCTTTTACAAAATTGTTCGAACGACAAAATATAGATCATTCTAGAAATGAATTGAAATGTGGCTAAAATGACTACAAAATATACAAGTTATCGAATATTTTATAGATATAGAGTTAATTGTTGCTTTTTCTATGACAAGTGACTTTTTACGTCGCGGGTGGGCCATATTCTTCAGAATTGATGTCTTATCGATTTATATTTTCCAGCTTTACGGTGCCTTGTGCGAAAGTATTAATTCGTACTTGACAACAGAAGTCCTTGGGGAAAAACTAAACTCTACGGTAGGTTATGTTTCTCTTTTTATGAAAAGAGAAATGCCAAAGTATTTTTTCTAGAACGAAATTATATATTCATAATATGTAAAATGAAGTAAAAGTGTTACGGAAAAGAATTGATTTCGTTTAGTATTCGATTGCTCAGCTGAGGTCATAATGAGTACGTTTTTAGTTTATGTAATTACTTCTTCTGCTAATGGGTTTATTACCTTAAAAAAAACAATCAGAAAGAAGAATAAAATGAATTGCTCATATTCATATGTCAAAGATAAATTACGTGTTGCACATGCTTAAGCTATTCAATTACCAGTTATTTTTTATTGATTAACTAGTATTGCAAATTAGTTTGCTTCAAAACGAATTAAATTACTTAATCTAATCGTAAATTAATTCCAATAAGATTAAAATTATCAAATAATGATCGTCTAGTACATATTCAACATTTATTTGTAAGTAGAATTATTTCAATAAATAAAATACTTAAAACAGTTTTATTATAAATTAAATTAATGAACTTAATGATTGTTAGTATAAAAATGCATACACGTTCTTTAAACTTCATTTCACGCTAAACTTCTCAAAGTCTCAGTAATTGCTTGCTAAGATATAGTCAAACAATGTGTTGAAGAATCTATATGATTTCACTGTCAATCTATTGAGTGTCAGCTTTTGTCAAGTACCGGAAGTTCATATCACAAATATTCAATTCTCATTCGGTCTCAATATTACTACTTAGATTATTTGAATATTTTTTCATCATATGTTAGTTAAGAAGTGTTATACGAGTGTTATTTCCTCAAAGATAAGCTAATTTTATCAAAGTTACCAGAAGAGAAAGCTCCAAAAAGAAGCAATAACAATTAAACATGGGTAATTAGATTATATCCTTTAACATGTCAAAGATTGCCGCCTTAAACCCGGACGCAACTATGGATTAAAAACCAATGTATGTTTGCAGATGAGAAATAACTTATCTGAATGACCACGGTAGCATCTGTCGCCATATTGATTTTTTATTTCAGTTTTAATTTAGCATAAAAATGACCGACAGAAAGAGTGTCGCCTTCGTATCCGTTTAATTTTTCTGAAAGACCAGCCGCCATCACTTTATCAATATTTCACAAGTTCACCATTTTTTCTTCTTGGATCTGACATTTTATATCAAAAACTGTCATATTAATGAAGGAAATAATCCGTTAAGAAACTACATATGTATCTTAATTAGCATTTAAGACCTCACTAACTTTTTAACATTCGTTTCATCATTTTGTTATAAACAATAAAGATCTGAAAAAGCTTATGTTATATAAGTTTATATATTTTCTTCTCTATTACACAGGCTTTTCTTTGCAGAACAATGTAATTAAAAAACAAACTTTTAATTATAAAACTAAAGTTCAGGAAAAATCCAGATAAGAGTACATCCAGAACGCATAAACTTAAAGTAGATTGGTCTACAATGGTCACATTTTCCATATAGATTAAACAAAAAAAAAGTTATCATTTGGATAATCCTTCAATTAATTGCTTGAAAAACAATGTTGATAGAGTTTTAAGTGATTACGTATGAAAATTTACATAATGAATAATAATATTTTGTTCTAGAACATTTTATAATCTGCTGTAGCATCAATATATATTATATCAGATCATGTATCTCACATTTACAAACATCATACATATATAATTATTTCGTGGCTTGATGTCAAGGAACTAAATACCATCAACATAAGTATCGCATACCTTCCACATTTTAGACAAATTCACTTAAATAGCTTTTAAAAATGTATCTAAACTAAACAGGACATTTCAAAGCGTTTACAATTATCGAAAAAATTAATACAAACACAATATACGAATGTTTAAATAGAAAAAGTTAGATCTATTAAATGATTGTATGAAACTTAAAAACAATTCTGCTTAGGCCAGAAGAGTAAGAATATATAAAAACAGTAAAAACTAACATTTTTCTGAGCTCAAAAGTTGAACCTTTATTATGTAAATAGAATAAACATTAAAACAGTTTTACTTTACTTAATCGTAATTTTATAACACATTAAAGTCTAAATTATCGAAAGGAAAATTCTTTTAAAGAAGTACATACATTCTGAAGATCTGTGAAATCTTTCGAACACCAAATTTAATACCGTTAAAACATCATTCTTTAGTTTCAATATTCGAACACAATGCATATGTACTTCAAAAATAAAAAAAATATGTAACAAATTTAAACCCAAGTCTTAACTTTGGCATAACAAGATATATGTCTTTTCTATGTCCGTTTCGTTCTTTCGTTATTGAGTTTAAATGAGATAAGTAATGCGGTAAAATATATACAATACGTCTCCGAAAGACTAACATAAAAGCTACAAAGGCACATAAAAGATGATATCATCGACGCCAGTTAAGTTTTTACCGTTTCCTGAGTTCTATTATTTTATCACCAATGCGTTCTTGGTTCTTAAGATTGGTTGTTGTGCTCTTATTTTTCTTGGAATAGTCTCTTCGTTTAATAAATAAATTGTTCTTAAGTATCAATTATTTTACGAAAGTGAAAAAGCGGATATTTTAAGAACCTATGCTTCAATTGCTAAAATTACAATGAGAATGCTATTTTGTTTCGACATAAAAATATAAGAAACTTTCCCTGCTCGTTCTAACGGGGGTATTCTTTAAACAAGGTACTTATTCAAAATACAGATAAGTTTTAGTTCTTTTGTGGTGCCATACTTAAAACATGCGTGCTTGTTGCCGATTGTCCGTAAATTGGCACATATCTGTTTTAAATTATTTGAGCTATAATGAAACGGTTTTAGGTCATTGTCTCTTTTGAACCCTTCAGAGATAAGATCATCCAGTAAAATTCGTGAACACGTCTAGTCAGACAGAAATACAGTCTAAAAACGTCATTTATCAAATTTTCTACTTGGGTTTTTTATGTAAGAGTGACGAATCAAATAAGTTATATGTTACTTTTTTTAAATGATTCAAAGTTATATTGGCTTTGTATCTGTAACATTTTCGAAAAGAGAAAAATAACAGAAGTATAATAAGTGATTATAAACATTGAAATACACTCGAAATTTATGTGAATTCAGATTAAACTTTCATTTGTGAAATAAGGACGCTTTAGCGACGTTGTTTTTCCCGACTTTCTGTCAGAATATTTAAATTTTTGCATAATTTACAATATGCATTGTCAGTGATTGAAAACAATCACGTTTGTTTCTTTATAAATTGTACCATTTGTGGTACTCTTAATACTTCATCTGTTTCCGTTCTATTTATGACATATTGTACAAGAATGATACATACTAATTATGGCTTTCAAATTGAATGTTATAATTCTAATATGATGCTGATTGCATTTTGTGACGACCTCTGGTGCCATGGAAATTTTAGTATAGATTCATAATAAAAATAATGACAACAGAGTGAATGGGTGCCTTATAATGTTGTATGTAAAATAGTATATCACAAGAAATATGTTTGAGAAAAATTTAATCGCTATCACGTCATTTGGACAAACCGTTAATATTGGCTTTGTTGCTACATTGTAAGTATATCAAATCAATTTTTTATTCCTTATTGATAAGCATATTTCCATGTATATTTTTAAGAAAAAAATCGAAAGTTTCACTTCAATGAAGTTTGAAGAGAGCAAAATAATAGATAAATCTGAACTTATAACTGCATTGATGTTTAATAAAAAGGAATATTTAAAAATGGTGTCAAGAGTTAAATTACCAGAGATCTTATATTCTGTTTTAGTGTTGTTTTATGATGAAAATTAGACATATCACTCCAACGAGAATCAATAAATTAGACAATAGGTATGTCCATAAAAATAGCCATGAAAAAACCACATAACTCTGTCATCATGTTGCTATAGACTTTAAAAATATTACCTGTAGGTGGTAGACCAGATGATGGTAGAAATCTGCTAGCATACTGCTGGAGGGTAGTAGGTGATGCCGACCTTGACAGTTCAGATCCCGAAGCTGAAAGTTGGCTCAAACTCGAGTCCGCTGCTGAAAATGTGACTGACCCAAGCTGTCCGAGAGACCCTGCCGATAAAGATCCAAGCAGTCTCGACCTTTCAATAGCTGTCAAATCCACTCTGCCTTCAAGGTGATGAGCCATTGTAACTTAGCAACCTTTAATTCTATTTCGTCTGCACCAGTTCTTCCCCATGTTTACTCTCGATAAGTTATTTGAAATATCCCTCTGGAATTTAGAAAAGACAATCTTAAAAAGAATTATACCTTGCGAAATGTTTTTTCCCTATCACAAATATAGCTATAATATTCATTCAATTGTTCATTTTGTGTTTCGATTTTTTGAATCCCGTACATTGTAATATTCTCTCATACAAAGACTGTGATGCGGGAATGTTTGTAATTCTATATTCCGATCAAGTAATGTATCATACATTTTCTACAATCATTTTTAAAACTTCTTCTTTTTTCAAACTCATTAATTTTTATGTACATTAGTCCCCTTCTGTTAACAACGTCTATTGAGAGTCCTTAAGAGACAGATAACTTGGGAATATGAATACAGCAATATTCATAAGTTTCACTATCACTTGCAAAGGCTTACGAAATCCATGAAAGAGAAACAACACATTCTTGTTTAACTTTTGATGCACAAATACTTGGACGGGTAGCGCCCAAAACAACGCTTATAATGTTCAGCCTTATGCCTAAATGAACATTAAACCATGCACCACTTCTCTAAACCAATGTTTAGCTATTTGATAAACATACACTTTGTACAATAAAGGTATAATTTTCCCCGTAAAAGAAACCAAAAAGCAATAAAGTATCCCTGACGTTACAAATTGTATTCTTACTTCAGATAAAAATCTTTAAACTTATTGCCTATACCCCTTTCATATAATTTATCTTTTTTAAACATACATGTGGCCAATAGCTGGCATTTGCTTTCTAATCTCTAAATTTCCGCGTGTTTTCATTTTATTTCCCGCACATTTCAAAAGCGTTGCTAGAAAATAAAAGCTTTATGACCAGCTAGTTGCTTAATGCGTTGGCAAAAAATCCACCGAGTTTAATCCCTGCTTTTCGCTCGATACTTTTTCTAAATTATGCACCGTTTTAACAAAAATCCTTTTTGATACATGTAAGGTGTTTTTATGTTTTATATTAGTAAACTTTCAGAAGGTATTGTGCTTCATATATTTGCCATATTTCTGATTCGATAAATGTTTATTTGAGGAACTATACTTTTCTAAAAAAAACATATCTAACAAATATAAGGAATTTAACTTTGCTTTTCTTAAGACGAAAACAGAAATAGTGCAGTTAGTTAAACCTTAACGTATTTGATGAAGACAAGTTTACATATGCAAACAATTATGTTATCCATTAATTTTATTTTACGTGCAATTATTAAATATACGTTTTTCATTCTGCCGACAATATGATTAGTTATATACTGCCGAAAAATATGTTTAGTTGATTTGCCGCTGCTACATATATTTGATTTGAAAATACTACCATATTACTAACTGATAAAACACTAGACTAATCTTTTATTCATTGACGAACATTACTGATAGGAATTAAAATTACTTTGTTCATAAAAAAAAAAAGAAAAAAAAACACAAAAAACACGAGGATTTTTATATGATGACATTGTGCATGTATAATTGCCTTCTTGATGTATTTGAGTCTGAGATGACAACTAACATGATATTAATTTTCTGAAGCTTAGATAAATACACGCATCATTTGAAATGATAAAAGGTACATTTTCTCTGAAGATTAAACGTAATATTGGAGCTGAGAAGGGTTTGTGATCAATTTTAGGCAATTAATATCAGGGTTTGTGATAAATTTTAGGCAATTAATATCAGTTCAATTACTATGTTTACTTAACATACATGCTATTTAAGTTTACTTCAATTGATTTGTATACCGTGATTTAGATTTAAGAAGAAAATATACATTAAATGACATAAGGCACACTTTATATGAACAATTTGTAAAATATCATAATGAAAATGATCGTTACTATCCAAATAAAGATGTGAACTTTCTAATGATTCGTGTCTTGCAATGATGACTTTTTAAAAAAAAATACACAACTACATAACTCTAAAGGTCCAGTTTAAACGAATACACTAAGTAAGAAACGAAAAAAAACTAAGTATATATAACACTTTTTAATTTCTAGTTTTATTGATATACATAGATTTGACGAATACAATTTGATTCTATTTTCAGACGCTTGGCTCTCTAAAACATATAAACCTATAAATAAACAACTTCATTATATCAAAATAACTATAAATTTAAAACATAATTGTGTGCTAGCATTGCTTCCATTGTTTTTAATTACACAATCAAAAGAGAGCTACATTATCGAACTTTGTAATTCAAGTACAACAATTTGAAATGTACGATTTCTTATACATAAAAAAATAAAATCGTCTTGCGCAACGCATCCCATTTAATTTGAATTTATGCATCAATGAAAAAAATGGCACTTTTGAAACGGCAGGAAAACTCTTTTTGAGGAAAGAAATCGGCTTAATTTGATGGTTTCAATTCATGATTCTATGACATTAATGTGTCAAAATGTATTATTAATGTTCTTTTTAAAATGCAAGTTGTATTTCACCTGTGAGTTTTGAATTTGAAAGGGAATCTTCAATAGTGTATTAGAAAACGACTTAATTGTAAAACTTTGTTAAATTGAAGAGATTTGTTATTTGTCTGTTTCTGTCAACTGTAGATAGTCAAATCATTTATTGTTTCATATTTCTTCAAATAGATAAATTATATCAAAGCAGAGACCAGACGCATTGAAGAAAAGCAAACATTTTCATTAAAATATTCCTCATAATGTAATATTAAAACTGAAAAAAAAAGGAAATTAAAGGCGATTTGCTGGTTACTTGTCCTTCACTATACTTCTTAACATGCAATACAATTTATTGGAGTAATTTCTCTTGATTAAAGCTGTGTTTAAGAATACAAGTTTCATGGAACAAAAGCACAAATTTGATATTAAAGTGTACATCAAACGGAACGGATATCCATATAACTATGCCATAATCGTAAATGATTTCATATAAATAGCGTGTTTATGTATTCGAACGAGATACAATATAACGATTATCAATAGCTTGTCTAAAATTCTTTTATTGCTAATGTTACAAAAGTGGTGACATAGAAAATTATGATGACACTAGCATGACTACGGCCTAAAATATCAGCAGTATGCCCATAGGACCCAAATCCTGGCGACAGAATGTCCAGTTGTTTCTTCATGTAACGGCATTTACAAATGTAAAAACATTTTCTAAACATGGGAACAGCTATGCGGGTTATATTCATAAAAACACTTAAAAGACAACATGCTTTGAAATAATGTATAAAAGCAAATCGTGCGTATGCAAAGCCTGTTTAACTGTAAATATAAGCTATTTCTCATCTGCAAATACAAGTTTGAATTGCTTTTCTTTATTTAAGAATGAGTACAAGTAGATGTTTAATAATTCAACATTTAACATATCTCGTAAATTATTACTGAGTTATATACATCACTAAACAAACACTTGAACATATTGTGCGATACTTCTTTTATGCATATCGCTTGTACTTACATTTCTGCAGCGAGTTTGGCGAATATGATTTGTTCAATAAATACTAGTTTGTGATATATCAATATAAATTTAAGAAAATTACATTGGGCTTAGTCAAATGTTACTATGGTCAGGTTTCAACTAACTAACTTATACCCGACAACGAATTTGTAATGGTTATGATACTGCTATTGATTTCGGCTAAAGTTTTGTGTGCTTTTTGTTGTTGCTGATTTTTTATATTTTACAAAAAAAATACATATTAACATGGAATTAATACAGAAAATAATTCAAAATAATCCACAAAAAAATGTAATCATATTTCATATTGTCTTTTAATGTTATTATACATGTACTCGTATTTTTAAACAAAACATTTAATAAAAAAAATATGATGATGATTCATTTATAATTTTATTTGTATCTTTATTTTTTCTTATTTTTGGTGGCTTTTTTTCATATTTTTTTTATCTTTTTAATTTTATTTTATTACCAATATTTTCTTGTCTTAACCCATAACAAAAAAAAATGAATTTTCAACAAGATTCATTAACATCACCCTGCGTCCATGGTTTTGTATAAATTTTGGCAAAAAGTAATATTTCTTACTTAAAAATATCTCAATTTCATATAACGCTAAAATACAAATGTAATACATGATCTTGAGACGTAAATACAAAATACGAGTACTTTACATTGAATGAGTCCAAAGGTTTCTTTTCTTAACGCGTACAATCTTTTTTGTAATAATTAAACATTTAGTTTTGCAGGCTATAAGAATAATTCTTTCAAAAACCACCGTTACATGTAACCCAACACAAGCATAAATATACAAAAACTTACTCCGTCCTTTTCACAATTTCGTTTTCTACCCAGACCAAACTAACCTAAAGAACAAACTCCAAAATATCAAAATTAAGATTAATGTAATGTAAGGGAAGAAAAGTAAAAAACATCTTTGATGTAAAAACTCAGATCCACATGAAATGCCATTCATCGCATCTGCTAGAATATAAAATACACATGCAATAACAGCATGGTGTTCTCGCGTGCTTCAAAAGCTTCCAATGAAATTTATTCCGGTCCTTATTTCTGGGCAGCTTTCGCAGTAATCACTATTTTATTAATAATGAATATTTAGTGATGGGGATCTGCTCGTGGCATAAATGTTTTATATTCACGTGCAGAAGTTTTGAGACATTGGATGTTTAAATTAGCAATCTTTATATCAAATTGAATTAGTACCTACTAAGACTCAAAGAGAAACAATGATTAAACGTATATTGTGAATATTAAGACAAAGTGTTATTTTTTTTTAAACTTGAGTAAACTCCTTATTTTATATATTTACCGAAATAAATGCATCCTTAATAAATGTAGAAAATTACATATGTATATACATTTTTATATTATTAAGGATGTAATTCCTTCGATATCAAAGACTAATACATTTATATATTATTATGTACTTTTGTAATTATTATATCATTAATTAATATTTTTAGAACCAGAGCCATTATCAATTTACTATCTTTCGAAACAAGCACGTTCTTATTATACCTCCAACTCCTTGGTTCCCACTCTTGACAGAATAAATGCACGCAGTAAAGCTGGA